CACCAATAAGCTTTATTTTCTTAATAATGGACCCAGAGTTCCAGAGTAGTCATGTTTCTAGCTATTGTTATTGATCTCTTACTGTGCCTAGTTTATAAATAAAACTCAACATAGCTGTGTGTCTAGCCAAAACCGTTGTGTCCAGTCCTTACTGTCCATGACTGGGGTACCAATGGCACTCCTGGAGCATATCCTTCCAGCACAGCCTTCAGTGCAGCCTGTGGGACCAACAGCATCAGCATCTCCTGGGAACTTACCACAAATGCACATCCTTGAGGCTCCACCCTGGACCAGCTGAATCAGAAATGGCAAGGGGGCTCAGGTTATCTACTATGATAAGCCCTTCAGATAATTTTAATACGTGTTGAAGTTTAGAAATGTCCATTTAAGATTTTAAGTTCTGAAACTGGACCAGAATAATTTTTCAAAAATTATAGCCTGGCCTGATGACTCAGACCTATAACCCTAGCTATTTCAGAGGTTGAGGCAGGAGGATGACAAGTTCAAGGTCTACCCATGCTACAGAGAGAATTCAAGGCAGCTTTGAATGAAACCCTGTTTCAAAATTTAAAATACAAAAAAGAACTGGGGATGTTGCTCTGTGGCCTGGCACCTGTCTAGTGTATGCAAGGTCCTGGCTTCAATCCCCAGAACCATAAAAAAGTAATGAGAAAAGGCAGGGTATGGTAGTACATTCCTTTAATCCCAGCACTTGGGAGTCAGAGGCAGGTGGATCTCTGTGAGTTTGAAGCTAGCCTGGTCTATGTGGTAACTTCTGGGACAGTCAGAGCTACATAGTAAGATGACCCAGTCTAAAAAGAGAAAGGGGGAGAAGAAAAATAACCCAGTGTCCTTTCTTGTACTGTTTTTCATTCTTTCTCTGTCCCTTTCCATAGCCGATATATGAATAAACCAAAACCAATATTCTGATGCTCTTGGTTTATTCATACGTTCACCTTGTTTCCATAAAATATTTGGGGCAGCTCACGGAGGAGGGTCTCAACAGTGACCCATGTTTACTGAGCGCATCACCTAGTTACGACACAGATGGTCTACATAAAACATTTTTTTTTTCACTTACTTGGATTCTTCATTGCAACCTTCAAAAGCAGCTGTTTTTGTTATCCCCATTTTATAAGCAGGAAAGATGAAGCAAAGACAAAGGGTATCCACCATTCCTGGCCAAGCCTTCTTGCTGCATCCTGCCTCCTAAATTGGTACAGAGGCAAAGATTCTCTCTAGGACTTTTAAGGTCATCTCTCCAATTAAGATGGCTCTGTTCTCACAACCTCATTGTCTTCAAAAAGACCCTGGCCCCAAAAGCCATCATTGGGGTGGGGGTGGAGTGGGGGTGGGATGGGGGGTGACATGTTAATAGGCACCTCAGCCATTTGCTCCAGGTTTCTTTGACACCTAACACTCTAGAGCAGTGGGGTGACATTTTAACATGAACTTGGGAGTTGGGCACAACCATTCAGACCCCTGCATAGGGAATGCAAGCAAAAAACATTCTTCCCTGTGCTCACAGCTCTCACCCAGTTGCCGCCTTCTACTTCCCTTAGCCATAGAAACAGGGGCACCTGCAATTACATTGCTTGGACCTAAAGATGGGGACAACTAGAGGCTTTGACAGTCAGGACCTTCAGCTTCTAATTGAAAATCAAATGTGTGAATGTTGTTCGTGGCAGCGAGTGAGGAAGTATGTCCATTGCATAGCCCGCCATGCTGGCATCTCTGCTTCCAGAGCTTGTAGGCATCGCCATCATTTGTACATCATTTGTAGCCTGTATTTGGGTTGGGGAGGAGGACAGGCAGGTTCTGAAGTATGGGTACCACTGTGAGAGGTTTAGCATGCCATAAATAGCATAATCTACTAGGGGTTGAAGGCTGTGTTGTGAAATAAACATAAACATCTTGGGTGTTTGCTCCTGGAGAGTGACCTCTTTCTATCGACTATGTATTAAGGATTCCCAAAGGACGCATGATGGTGTTTTGAAAAGTCTCAGGGCTTGCATGTCTTCATGCCCTCAGCTCATGATGGTTCTTCCCTCTCTTGCTTTCCAGTCCCAGCAAAAGTGCATTGTGATCTTCGCTCTGGTCTGCTGCTTTGCGGTTCTGGTCGCGCTGATATTCTCAGCTGTGGACATCATGGGAGAAGATGAGGATGGACTCTCAGAGAAAAATTGCCAAAATAAATGTCGGTAAGAGGTAACAACCAAAAATTCTCTTTTAGGGGGTGGGTGAGAAAGTCAGGGAGGGGCCTGGACACGGAGGAGAGAAATGTCTCCTTGCGTCTGCTTTCAGCAAGACTTAGCTGAGGCCTCACTCTCTCCTCAGAGATGCTTGTGTTTACTAGGTCAGGCACTAAGAAAGATTAATGATTTCATTCGCTTGACAACCTGGCACTAGTCTATACAGAGAGGCGATTGACCAAATAAAATATCTGACAGCCTGCATTTCTGGAGACTTCTGTGTATGACATTTTGATCCACTCTCTGATAAAGCCTGGCAAATGCAAGTGCCCGAATGGACAGAGAACATGTTCTAGTTGTTTATGCAGAAGTTAAGACATGCATCTCAGGATATATTATATCAGGTAAGAACAGGAGTTCCCCAAGTTGGCCTTGGCTTAGCACATGGTTGTTTTGTTTGCTTATTCATTTTAATCTAAATGTTACAACAGCTTTACTAACCACTTGCTATCACAGGGCATATCTTGAAATTTCAGTAATTCATATATGTCAGGGGTCCCATAAGATTCTTTGCCTACTGGCAGATAGGCAAATACACTGTGCTGTTCACGTGTTGATGGAATCAACTAAGAATGTGTTTCTCAGAGCGTGTCTCCATTCTTGTGTATATATACATGATTATATTGTGTGACATCAATTATGCTGTATAGCATCTCCCTGGGAGTCTTCCTCACCTGTAGAGCTAGCAGCACAAGAAGTCTCCTTTTCCACTCTTCCTGAACTGTGACTTTTTACATTTTGTGTGTATGTATGTATGCATGCATGTATGTGTGTGTGTATTGTGTACGTGTGTATGCACACACATTTGTAAATATGTGGGCACATGTCCCAAAGATTTCAAGTGGAGGTCAGAGAACAACCCACCAGAGTTGATTCTCTCCTTCCAGTGACTGAACTCACGTCATGAGGCTCTGCAGCAAACACTTTTACCCACTGAACCATCCTACTTTTTAAAATTTTGAGGTCGGGGATTGAAGTAGAAACATCCCAAGAAGAAGCTGTTGTCAACGTCAAGCTGGAAAGCATGAATGCTCAAGCCGATGTAAGCTACAATTTAAACTCATGTTCAGCCCTACTTCATAATCGCTATCAGAATTTGGTGACCTCAGTTCAGCTTTACAGTGACATCTGCTAAAAAGAGGTCATGTGGACTGCAGTGTGGTCATGAGTACACACATTTTACCCTGGATATTTTGCCTGGAAGTTAAATATTCTAGTGTGAGAAATGTTCTTAAAAGCAATGGACTTTTCCTCCCCACCTTTGATACACTGCAATCTAGTTACCAGGCAACTAGTATTATATACAGAGCAAAGGACACAAGAAATAGCCACCCATTTGGATTTCTATCCTCAATATTAGAAATGTGTGTCATAAGTACATTTCTTTATTGGGCTAATAGGAGAACAATTGAACTGAGATCATTATTTTAGCCTGATTTTAGTCTTTGGTTCTGTGGAAATAAATGAATACCCGCCTCATGGGAACACAGGGTGCATTCAGAGCTTATTGTAGCAAAACCTTACTGTAACAAGGGAGTCAACACCACCACTGTGCTTCCCAAAGATTCTGAAGCAGGCATAGCAATGAGAAGAAGGCGGCTATAGCCTCTCAAAGGGGAGGCTGCCCATGTGGGGCAGAATAAGGTGGCTAGCATGATTTGTGACTATTTAGAGGAAGTATGTTTGGCTTTCTCTGGTTGGCTCTGGGTCTGAAGTAGGGATAAAATCAGGAATACTGGGAGTTACTAGCTATGGACTATGTTCATTGTTAATTAAAAAAAAAACTAATTGGCTGATAGCAGGCCAAGAAGAGATTGGGCAACACAGCCTGAAGCAGACAGAATGATGGGAGGAAGAAGGGCAGAGTCAGGAGAGTAGAGGAGACACCAGCCAGCTGCTGGGCAAGCAGGACATGTAGAAAATGAGGTAACAAGCCATGAGCCACATGGCAAAGCATAAATAGAAATATGGCTTAATCTAAGTGCAAGAGTTAGCTAGTAACAAGACTGAGCTATTGGCCGAGCATTTATAATTCATATTCAGCCTCTGAGTCAGTTATTTGGGACCTGGGTGGTTGGGACAGGAAACTTCTGGTTACATATGGCACCCAAAGGTCTAGTGAGCATTTCCACATAAAGCCTGAAAAAGCTTTAAAAGGGGTTCTAAACACACAAAACCTTGACTACTTGGTAACTGCTTTTTCTTGGGTGGGCTCTGTTTGCTAGCAGCAAGCAGAGGCACAACTCCTTTAAAAGACAGGTTCCTGACTCAGTGCTAGTGGTGAAAACCACATGGCTCTTTCAAGAGGCCCCTGCCACCAAACACTTAAATGGGGTTTTTATGAGCAGCGGGTGGCATGCTACTCGGTGGCTGCGTGGACTCAGAAACTTCCCAGAGTTGGGATGGTAAACATATCACTAATTCCTGGCCACTTGGGGCCGGTGTCATCTAAATTGTTGTTTAGATGCCTGCACCATTGCTGGAGATAGCGGTCTCACTTCCTGCGGGCCTGGCCTGGTGGCCCAGGGAGTTGGTTTCCTGGGAAAGTCACTATAAGTTATGGCCAGAGTTGAGTTGTGTTCTCACTATGGCATGGCTGTTATACTTTTGTATATCCAGTCTTCATTCCACAAGCTTCTCCTATACATATCTGTCCCTTTTAAGTGTTCCTTTGCTTGTTTGTTTTTGTTGTTGTTGTTTTGTTTTGTTTCATTTTTTTTGAGAAAGGGTTTTATGTAACCTCAGCGGGCCTTGCCCTGCTGATTTTCCTGCCTGTGCCTCCCAAGCACACGGGCTGCCACACTGGCTAGGCTCTTCTGTTTTAATTTGCCCTGGCCTTCCTCTAGACCACAGTGTACACATCTCTGTGATTTCTTCAGCACCAAGTTGTGGACGAATTTCTAAGCAGTCTTATTAAATAAGAAACACAGAGCTAAATAAGGGGTGAAAGCTTTAGAGATCAGAGAAATAGTGATAGCTACCAACTAACCTTAGCTCACCATGCCACGGTAGCTTCTCGAGAGAACCAGCTTCTTCCTGTCTAACTTGCACCTTTATTGCCTTGCTGTTCTGCCTTCTCATTGGCTCTTAACCCAGCCACCTCACTTCCTTGTCACTGCCTGTCTGTACAGACCTCCAGGTCTCTATGGTTGGTACTGGGATTAAAGGCGTGGATCACCACGCTTGGCTGTGTCTTTGAACACACAGAGACTCTGCCTGCCATGTGATCAGATTAAGGACATGCAATTACCACCGCCTGATTTTTGTTTATGGCTGGCTATCTATGTCCTCTGATCTCCAGGCAACTTTATTTATTAACATACAAATAAAATATCACCACATTTCAGCACAAATAAAATATCACCACACCAAGTATGGCTTGACTCTTTGAAGCACCATGTTAATTTTTACCCTGGTCCTCCCACCCTTGCCCTCAAAGTGTTTGAGCTCCATGTTTTCTAGCTGTTTTTCCTCCAGGCACAGATGCCACTAGTAAAAATGAGTGGGCTATTCCAACAGAGACCCATCCCTGAGTTCCTGAGACTGATGCAGCCTAGCAGGAAGAAATGCTCTGGTCCATAGATGCTCCCAGAGGCCGTCATCAGCCTCACCTTCTGTGCTTATTCAGGCTCCTCTCAACGCCTCATCCCTTTTCTCTGGCTCTTTTCAGACTTTATGGTGACACTCATTGTGTCAAGTGACACTGCTGTCCAACAGCTGTGATCTCACAGAGGTGCAATTTCTCTGTAGGCTTCTCTACCCCTGGTAGGGTTGCCAGAAACAGTGCGTGTGCCCAGTGCAACCTCTGCTGAGATCTGTTCCTTAGAAATTAAACTCCCGGTGTTTGTCTGTCTGCTCCCTCCTGAAAGTTGAAAGCAGCCTGGCAGCTGGCAGCTCTTTTCTCTGTGTTTTGATGGCCTCTCCGCAAGTTCTTTTCTTCCCATGCTCTTTTCCAAATTTCTCTGTGGTGATATAGTGTTTACCCTAATAAACTTGACAGAGCCAGCCACTAGATTAGACCTAGAGGTCAGGCAGTGGTGGCACACACCTTTAATCCCAGCACTTGAGATCTCATGCTTTGCTTGGGAAGCACACACGCCTTTAATCCCAGGAAGTAATTTGGCAGGGCAGAGAAAAGTATATAAGGCATGAGGACACAGGAAGTCACTCTCTTTAGACTGAGGATTTGGTAGAGGTAAGAGCTAGTGGCTGACTGTTCTGCTTCTCTGATCTTCCACCTTTCACCCTGATATCTGGCTCTGAGTTTTTTATTTTAAGACCATTTAAGATTTGAACAATATATCTCCCTGTAATTCATCTTGTTCTGCTCTTAGCCCATCTCTCCCATGATGGATCTTGGGTCTGTTCAGGCTTCTCAGTCAGCTGTCCCAACTCTGACACTTTTGTTACTGTCTCTCCCCGTGATCTTTTTTGTCTGGTTTGCATTATTTCTTTGTCCCACATGTTACTTTTCTGATATATGACTGTACTAACAGGAGATAATCATGTGCTCACCCATCATTTTCCCATGCAGATCTATAAAATGCAAACTGATCAAATACTGTCCCCCCAGTACCTTTTATTTAAGTATAAGGATGGAGTTTTGTTGCATTACCCAGGCAGCTTATTCTTGTGGTTTGCATCCCTCTGCTGTCTTCCTCTTGTAAGGACATCTGCATTCTTGTCATCTCAAGATTCCTGGTCCAGAACTGCAACCCAGTTGGATTATTCATATATTTCCTACTTCCTACATATACATGACCAATTATTTTGTGGCAACTTTGGCTTCTGTTGGTGCCATTGGCACTTTTGAGCCTTTCATTGCATACCAGGCTGGATTTTAAAACAACTCCTGAAAACAAGAACCCACACACTGTCATCTGCCAACCCCTCCATAGCTTAGCACTGAACTTTTAATAGGCGAGAATTTCCATGTAATCCAAGTGCAA